AAGGGTACGCGTTAAGCTAATTTTTTGTGCATTTCTTAAAGTGACAAAAATGGCAATTATATCATTCCTTAATACAATAAATCTACGCCTTTCCGAGTTCCCGTGCGTTTAGGTTAACACCGCAATCTGATAGGAGTTCTCCTAACAAATTATGCATAAGTTCCGGTAGTAGCAAAAGTGGTTTCAAAATTTGCAAACTGAAAACTGAATGATGACTGCGATTAAACCGAGAATTTAATCTAATGGACAGAAAAGATTCCAAATTAAACATTGTTGACAATGTATTCAAATGCAGTCATATGCATTCAATATTTTAAAAAAACACTATACAAAGTTTGTTATATAAAGGGATCTGGGGTTTTAAACATGCGATCGCAATTACATCGTTATGCATTTAAGAGTTAAACAGTTTTTTAGGTTACAGTTCAATATGAACAATTGTTAAGCTTCGATTCAGTCCCTGTTGTTTTTTTTTTTTTATTATGGGAGCAATAATGGGCAAACACATATATTTGTACATTGTGTAAGGAAGCAGACTTCCTTAGCTTTTAGTAAGTTACTCCCCTAAGTAAACATACGTCATAGTGAAAGCTCTAGATATCAACGCATTACTGTGGCAGCCAACAGTTATAAAAGCAGCGCGCGGTAAGTCAAAGTAGTAATAGTTGTCGTCCTGTCCGTGCGGAACGAGGTTCTTAAGATAACAGTGCCCGCTTGCATCATTGTCCTACAGACCCCCGGCCCGAAAGTACACCATAGGAACCTTACACCTTTACGGACCCGGTAGACTGCCTGCTGAAACACTAAAGGAATTAATTAACAGAGCATACACGTAACAATTTCATTTTTGCACATAGTTGCAGGCGGACCATATTTCTTCGCTAAAAAGAAAACAAGGCTGCCCACTAAATACGTGTTGGTTTTTCCTTTCGCCACGAAGTTACGTCGCAAATAATGCCATCTTGTATGCTTCTTGAATTCCATAAATGTATATTTGATCTAACACCAAAATAAGAAGGTTGCGTTAATTCAAGGAATAAATTTCTTGGAAAGGGACCGCAGCTGTAAATAATCCCCCTGTTACAATTGAAACATAACAAATTTATTGCTATGATTGCCATTATTTGATAAAGACAAATAATAGTATATAGAAGAAGAGAAGGATGCACTAAGCGACTGGGAATTAGAGATATTTCCTTAAAGAATGGATTGGTATAAGACGGACAATTTTAATAATAAGCAGTGAAAAAATAAAAGCAATTAGCAAAGATTTAATGGAAATATCGCAGCAATAATGATCGAGGTTACTTGGTTCAACTCAATAATATCAGGGCAACGCTTTCCCATCAGCACGTTTTTCCTCTTTCTTATGTTGTCATATAAACCAACATCAACGATGTTACAATAATTCTTGATGGTTAAATATTATTAAGAGTTTCTTTTATACTGACTTTCGTCTTTTTAAAGTTTTCGCGACGACGTGATTTTGCCAGAGGAAATATATAAATTATTTGATGCCATACCTTAAGCCTTTTGTGAAAAAATCACCGCTTTTCTTCTTTCGTTGTGTCAAAAGAAGCAAATTAACTTTTTCTTTTTTATGCTAAGTGAAGAAAAATGGAAGTCTTAACACTTCAAAGATCTGTTACAGGTGAACGATTATAAAAGAGCTCTTGCTATCTTTCTCAAAATTTCTATTAATTTCTCTTTCATCCAAAAAAAAAGTCAAATAAATACTTTTTTAGCCCAAATTGGAAATCGGAAGAAAATTTCCTAACCCATCCGCTGCCAGGATGTCTTTGGTAAATCGTCCATATGAAATTTATTGGAATAGATGTTACGCGTTTGTATTTTGAGCATTTTAGAAACGTAAAATAAACGTCCTTTTTAAACCGACATAAATAGGTGATGCCAGACTACAAGCAAAAACTAAACGTTGTAAGCCACCTTTCACATTATACTAAGCGAAACGTCTTATATTGTATAAAAATAATTTTTCAAAAACAACTCAATCCATTTTGTATGAAAAATACTAAAAGCAATTAATGATTGAATATTAGATAAGAAGAATTTTCAAGAATTTTGCCGCATTAGAAGTTGATAAGTTTTTTGAATACACAATACTCTTTAATACACCTCGAAGACGGCGTCGGACTATGATAAGAAGCCACCATGCCGCGTGTATGCGTGTTCGGCAACGAAAAGATTGGCTTCGCTTAGGTGAAGTACAAAAATCAGTTAAATGAGTTGATAACTGAACTGGCAACTAATCAGGGGAGTACAATTTAAACGTCACGGTTCCATAACAAGGACAAAGAATTCCGTTGTATTTCAAAGTGTTTAAGTTATGTATTTTGTTTCGGAAAAACTGTGTCTTCTAATACTGTGATCAAAAGAGTCATTCAAGTCGTTCTGGTTTTTTCGAGTGAATAATTTTCTCTTCAGCCTTGCCAATATCCGCGATCCATGTCAAATTTCAATCGCGTATCTTTAGTAGATAATAAGATACGCTTGTTCATTTGTATCTAAAAAAAGTCAGTTTTTCGATTGCATTTTACTTCTCTAATCGCATCAAGACCATGTTCCAAGAGCGGTCTATAGAGATTCGGATGTAGCCGACAGGCAAAGGAAATTAAAATAAAATTATAGAGCGATTGGGGAACGATACGAACGAAATTTCTAATGAGACGAAATAGCGGCAAATTCCTTTTCCCATTCTCCTTCCCATTGCATGAGTTAAACAATGAAATCCTTAAACTTACGTACCAACTAATTATTACAATTTTATCGCGCACTTTGCATAAAACTATAATTGCGTAAACATCTTAAAAACAAAGATGGTGGCATATGTATATTAATCCACTTAATGCAATGCCTTTGTTATCCTTATTTGCATTTTTAAGCTTTTTTTTCTCAGCAAGATTTTAAAATAAAAATCACCATGTAATCTCGCCCGACTATAACTGTCAATCAATGCCGAAGTATAAATAAAAGCGTGAAATTATTAAAATTGAACGAACAGTCATTACTTTTTAAAAGAAATTTAATGATGTTGGCAAATCTAAGACTCCGATTAGATAGGGAAGTGTTATCCTTCTTCAGTTCTCTGCGAAATAATAAAAGGAAAACCTTGTTTTTTTTTACATTTTTTCTTTTTTTTTTTTTTTAATTTATTATCATAAAATAAACTTAATTTTACTGCTGCATAACAGCTCACGATGGACTTGAGCGCAGTAATTGCTTTTAAAACGTGTTGATGTGTTAAATTGTGATCACACTTTCGATAAATGCCGGCATACATGTAGAGATGTAACAGAAGACTTCAATGTGAATATGAAATTCATTTAAAGTTATAACGAAATAAAGGGAAAAAAAACATCGAAAATCATAACTAAGCCAAAGGGCACACACTTTGTAACAGAGACGAAGCGTGAAAGAGACTGATTGTGGGAGGATTGGACAGAAAGAGGAATGAGGGGAAAGATTTTTATCGTGATGTAATAAACTCTCTATCAGTGCAGTTACTTTTATCAGTTTTTAGTATTAGTAGCAATTTTTCGATGAACTAAAAAAAAAGAAGAAAAGAAAACATTATAATCAAAATTTTCCATAATAACTTATGTAATCAATGAGTTTTTATAAAAAATATTTATTTTATCGTAAAAATATGCCCGTGGCTTGTAACTTTTGTGCTCATCTAAAAAATACAAACTTAGATTAATTCATATAATTTTCAATAAATTTAAGTGATATCCGAATATCAAACAAAATGGAGCGGGGAAGTAAGAAAGGTAAGCGATTAACTCTGATGGGAGACAAACTCGATCGATTAGGTCGTGTCGAAATCTGTGTGTCTTCACAAACGAAATAAACGAATAAAAACATAACTAAATTAATTCACGATGGTATAATACTCAGGAGGCACAGAAAATAATTCCCATGAGATGCAGAATAAAGCTAACTAAATTACTGTAAATAAAGAAAATGTTCCTTTTATAGGAGATATATATATATGTAATTTTGCCTACACCAAAAAGTTGAAAAAGCATAGTGACTTAGCTTTGCGTTAGTCTTATAAAATGGAAAATTTCATTGAAAACGCATTTAGATTCTAAGAAATAAAAATACAAATTACAATGAGTTAAACCTAAGAAGCATTACGATACAATTTCTAACATGGTGTATGGTGAAAGAGGCAAAAAATCTTATTCTGTCGACTTGTCAAGTTACTGTTTCAATGACTTACACCAATAAAGAACTGTAGAGAAGGGAGCGTTAGACGGGTGCGAAATCTTTAAAAACTACAAGAATTCTTTTGAACATTTTGAATATATATTTATATATTTTTTATTTATATTATTTTTTTTTTTTTAAAAATAGCACATACCTAGACTTAAACGATGATAGGGACGGGCGAAGTTTACCTTGCCGAACGCGCATACCCTAAGCCCTGTGCCTTTCTACACACTATCCTACCTAATGGTCTCCTTCGGTTTATGATGCCCATGGAAAACCTCAAAGTTGTATCCGAAGATCCCTCCAGCTTATCTCCCTCTCATCTGTAGAAGAACTCTTTTTGATTTCATTTTTCTTCTTTCACATTTCAACTACATTTGTTGTAATAGTATGTTTAAGAATTATCCGTTTCGTGATTCTTTTGTTTACTAAATGTATTCCTTTTAATTTGATGCAAAAATTTTAAAAACAATAGTAATAAAAAAATAAAGAAATCAGCAATAACAAGAGGATTAGTATTTCAAGATTAAACCGTTTCTTAAGTAAACAAGTCGATAATTTTTTAAATTGTTAATTATACATAAATTTTTCTTTATATAGATGTGCCCACGGGTTACATGTTCAAATTATAGTTATTTAGATTCTATTTAGACATTAAAAAGAAGCATAAAACCACCATCCATGTAATAGGAAGGGCGCGCCCAGATAAATAAGCATGTATTTAGCAGCGCAGCTCATCAAAATTATGCCTTCTTCGATTAGAGGGTGTTATTTCCAGCAAATAAGATTTTAAATAAATCTCAAAGGATACAAAGTTAATGGAGAAACGACTATCCCCAAAATGTTCGCCGCTAAACGTTCATTTATTAGGTGTTGTTGTTGTGTTATGTTTATCTTTTCACGTAGTACAATGAATCGCGGGTAGTGACGATTATGATTGGGATGACGTCGAGATTGCCTACGTAATATATTATTTAATTTAAAAAAATTAACAAAGTCATCTATTTAAAACACAGATACAAGCAATTACCGTAGCGCACTTGATTAAAAACCAAGAGAGAAGAGAATATCGGTTTGCTTTCGGAAATGATGTGTAATTTCGATAAAATGAAAAGCAATTTGCAGACTATCTTCGTTTCTCGTTGCAAGCAAAAATTCCAAGCTTCTTCTTGTTAAAATGCAGACAATTTTTTTCCAATGCATATCGAAAAATTTTTCGTAAAGTTTTGATGTCAAAGCAATAAATAACGTTTTGTTCTTATTCAGTTACTTCTTTTTTTATTTCACAAATCAATTACTAAGTGCTTTCTTTTTTAATAATTATTCGGGTTGTCTTAATTTTTCCATTACGCGCACATTTTGGTTGATATACAACTTGATGGCAGTTTTTCATATAAAAATCTAGTCTTAAGATATTTTTCGCATAAACAGGCAGCCCCGCTGAACAGGGTTAATTCGAGCCGTGGTTCTCGATACCTTTGATTTTGGTTTGAGATAACCTTTGAATATTCGTGGTTTTGAACAAGTCGTCTTTAAGACTGTTAATATGTTCCTTAAGAGCGAGGATTTCTATTTGATGGGAACGAGACTGTCTTAAATGATACCTTGAAATAATTTAAACCAATACAAATCCCGGAGGTATTTCCTCAAAGCACTTCCAATCAACTGTGTCACTAGTTCGAATTCTGGCAAGTTAAAGGAGAAGTAAGTGAGCGAACTTCGAATTCTGGCAAATTAAAGGAGAAGTAAATGAGCGAACTTCCAATTCTGGCAAATTAAAGGAGAAGTAAATCAGCGGGTCTGAAACCCACTTATTAGACTGTAATGCCACTCCGAATTCGGAGGTATGAGAATAATTTAATGAGCAGCTTGACTTGTTAGATTGTAATCAATTCAATTTCTTCTTTTTCAAAAGATTTTAGGCTAGCAATGTACTTCCTTTATTTAGTACAATAAAACGATATATTAGAAGAGCTTTGTCGAAGAGTATTAAAATAAGTGCTACATGAACCTTAGGGAAAAGCTTGAATATAAATCACTGTCAGTTTTATATCAGTGAGCACATTTCAATACATTTTTGAGATAAATTTGTAATTCATGAAAATATGTTAGAACCCGAGGAAAGTTCTGCTCGTTTTTCGAATACTACTATCGGAATAGTAGCATTCGAAGTAGTTTGTTGAGCTGAAATAAGCGAGGTACAGGGACGTAAATGAACTTTATCGATAGCCACGATGTATACATTCAGTGATAAAAAGAGAGAGCCAGATATGCGCTTACCTATTGAAACTCATTGCGAAAGTACGGACAAAACTTTCCGGTACATTTATTATCATTCAGAAAATTGAGAGAATATGTTGTAATTAATTTTGATTTTCTAAAATTTATAATTCTTCTTTTTACGTCGTCCATTAGTCATGCAATTAACATTTAAAAAAAAAAAATTCTTTTCTCTGGTGTTATCCTTGGTTTAGCTATTAATATTTAAGCTTTATTTATTTTATTTAATGATTCACCACAAAATTCGTTTATCGGTTTTTTTTTTTTCTCAACCAAAGCAAATCTTGCTTATTATCTTTTCTTCTTTCTTTCCCTCTGTCATCAATGCAACATAATAACTGACCAATAAGACAGCCAAATCCTACGTCAAAATGTCTTTCTGTCAAACAATTTTTCGTGCGCGAAGTTAACAGCCCAAATGCCGCAAGGTTGCATTCTTAGCAAAAATTGTTAAGAGGCACCACACCATATTTTCATGCTCTATAATACAGAGTGGACGCGGCTGTTTTTTTTTTTTTATTTTTAATGTAAATTTTCGTCGCTTAGGCGTGTGGACGTTATAGGCGTGTCCTTGGAAAAGTTTAAATCACTTTCAAATTCTACTGCATGTTTGTAGACGATATCTTCTTTTTCGCTAACGAGAAATAATACTATACATTTGGGCAGATGGACAGGCGAACAGGCAGACAGGCAGACATGTTGAGTTTGAAACTCCCCAACAAATTATACACTCTATAGGATTTTCTAAGCTTATTACTGCGCGATAAAATGATGTTGAAAAAAATTTTAATTTTTATACACTATAATATTGGGTAGGCGTGGTCAATTGTTTCCATTTTTGTACACAAATGCTATAGAAACGACCATACAATAATCGTTCAAAATTTTGTACTAAAAAACATTTCCAAAACTCATTCCTTTCGAAAAACAGAGATGTTCTCCGTTTACGTGGTGCTGTGGCCCGGTCCTTTGACCAACTTAGTCCTTTTTGAATATCAGACTGCGTGTGAGATGTTTCTGTTAAATTTGAAGTCGATACTCTCATTTTTGCGGCCAAGCGAATGTTGAAAACAGACATTCCATAGGAGGACGATCGATTTTTAAATCGATTCAGAATTTGATGCTGATCAAGAATATATGTATTCTGTGATATCTCTGATGCTTCGTTCTGGGCGTTGCGAACATTTTGACAGATTAATATGGCCCTCATCTTTCGGTGATTTGTATAAAAATATAAGTAATATAAAGTAAAAAAAACTCTTCTTCTCCAAGTTAACGTTAAATACTATGCACTTCACTACTTTACTATAAATATATTATTATTATTATTATTATTATTATTATTATTATTATTAATTTCGCCAGAAAAATAAATTCTAAGACTAAACTCTTAAAAGCACTAGCATCTAAGCCTATCGGCCTGACCGCTATAAATATACAGCCGAAAATTGAAGTCAATCGGTTGAAAAATCATAGCGTTCATTTTAGGACCACGTGGAAAACATGGCTTTGTGGGAAACGCTTCATCAAAGTTTTAGTGTTATTGTTTTTAATGTTGGTTTATATTATGTCTTATAAACATGAATATCGATCGTTTAAGATCACAACAGCAAAGGTAATGAAAAAGGAAAGCATTAGCCCTGACTTTAATTGCACGCTTAACTTCCAAACAATGAAAAACGTGTAAATAATTTTCTTCGTTAACGATTAATAAGTCCATTCTTTTATTATTATTTTTGGAGGTAAAAGATTTCGGTTTTATGAATAAAATGCAATTTTTGTATTGCACAAGGTCGATATCACGATCCGTCTCTGAGAGCAGTTTTTAGTGGTTGTGAATACGTGATGATATATGGTATGTTATTATTTACTTTATTCAATTCAACCATTATTGTTGATAAATGTTGTTAGTGCTTTTAATCTTCCATTTTTTTTTTTTTTATTTTTTTTTATAATATTTGTAAAATTTTATTTATTGTAATATTTACTCATATTCGTGTTGAAATTTATATATTTTACTAATATATTTTATTTTCTTTCCTTTTCAATTTTGCCTGTTGACATTTTATTGCAGCTGAAATACGAAAGTAAACAAAATGACCACCACGACGACAATACTACATAAATGGGACAAACTGTCACCGAGGGAATTTTTGCAATTACAAGAACTAACGTCATGTAAGTGAAGCTATATAAAGCAATAAAAATAAATAAAAGAAATATATATTGAGAATATAAAAAAATGGTCTTTTAACTTAGGGCAATGGTTTCATATCCGCTCTATATTCCTATAGTAAGCAATATTTTTATTTTCACTTCGTTACCTACCAGCCTTTGGGTTCTGGCAAATAGTCAAAACTATTACAAAGAACTCAACTGAAATTTAAAATGGAACCCCAAGAATTCTCACAACAGGTTAAGTTGAAATCTCTTCGAAATAAAGCAATTTCCGTAATAATTTCGTCAATAAGTTTCGTGCTCCACCCGGTTATTCCCTTTTATAAAAAATAATGAGAGTTAGCCTTACCACAGTCCTACCCTTTCGTTTCCTTATTTTTTCCTATTTGGAAATGAAACTGAAAATACTGTTATCCTCTTTTGAATTCCCTTCACTTCATTGTCTTTTCTTTGTTTTTTTTTGGTTCTCAACTGCATCGATCCAAATCAACAACCAAATTTATATTTTAAGATGAGTTTTTATTTTTAGAAGGAAAGCCGGCTAGAGCCAACTATTTCACAATCCTCTCATTATCACTAGCAAAATAATATTGTGAAACACTTTGCACGCAATCTTTGCGTCAACAACATCATGAAATTTGTTTTTCGACAATAAGTAGATGACAAATGACGTTCATGAGTTCTCTTGTTTTTTTGCTCCTTTCATTTTTTTGAAAGTAATTTAATAACGTTTAGCATGCACCACAGAGATAGAAAAACGATAGTCTTATGGTAGTAGTTTCGGATACATGCGGAACGCGTAACAAAACTTTATAGGTGGAAATCGGTAGGAAAAAGAAACGTACGATATTCTGTGCACTGGTCAATTTCTCTCTCATCCAAAAAACGGATAAGCAGGAGGCCAGAGACACAGACGGATAAACAGATGGCCGGAATTCAGAATTATTTTTTAATCGATTGTTATAACAAAAAGAGCGACCAGCTTAAATCGGTTTATACCCACCATCGATCGATGGCGGCATATTCATTTCGCGAAAATGCTTACAAAAGCCAGAATGAAGCTTCACCTACCTTATGAAGCATGTATTGTAGCGAAACTCAACTAAAGATTCCCTTTGATAATATGTTCACGTTTTGTTTATTGACATTTCTCGTTTAACTGAACTGTGCTCAGTGTCTTATATAGTAAATTGTGGCGACAGTTTAGCAAAAGGGTAAAGTTTTAAACTGGGCTATTACAAAAATTTCACAAACGTAAGTTGTCTTAACTACGGTATCACATTTAATGTGGATTATAACTAAAGTAGGTTAACTTAACTAGGTTATAGCTAGATTTACATTATGTAGAAATATAAGAAAATGTAAGTTTAGCATAAGTAAATAATAGGTGGGTAATAAGTAGAATACGATGAAACGATAATACTACAGTACATTCTTGGTCGAGATAACGTTTTGAAACAATTTAAGCGTATTCGTCTGTCCGCCTGACCATTTGTTCCTCTGCCTGTTTATTCAATATTTTTAGTAATGTTTCTCCTGACCCCAACAATTTAGCTATCGCCTTCAAATTTGGCAAAAAAGTTGAAAGTTCTTGCAAGCAGGCTGACATTGACGGTCAACGTCCACAGCTAAGGTACCACGTAAATTGAGAATACCTTTGTTTTTATGTTTTTTGCATTTTGTATACGAACTTGTTTATGATTGGCCGTCTTATCGTCCGACCATCATTCAGTCGACTTCGAAATAAAATTTTAAGACATAGGATGATTTTTCACACAAGAATACGATTATTTTTGTCTTTTACACATTTTATATTTAAAATCGTTCTTAAGATTAAACAAAAAACGATTATAAGTTCAATATCTTCTTGACTAAGTTGACTAACTTTTACCAGAGTATTTATTTTAAAAGGCAAAGGAAGAAAATTTATTGGCAGAAAAGGTAATCATCTCTCCACATCACCTCAACCAAATACCTAAGGGAGTTCCGAAAAATACGATTTGTGCATTACTTCGTTTCTATGTATTTTATTCACTTTGTTTTGCTTGAATGCAAACTGCAAGCTTTGAAGGAATGTATGTTTGTGTATAGCCGAGTCAAGACGAATATTACTTATCTCTCATTCACCATTACTTTATAACTTAAGAGTCCATTAACTACGCAAACATTTTGCCGTACGATGTAAGTTTGACCACACACTTCACTTTCCCATATGTAAAAATCATGCATGTGTTTCAAATCCATTACTATAAAGTTTTTTTTTTTGTCTTACTTTTCATTTGTTTCCAAAAAACAACATTTGCTTTAGAGATTTTATTATTATTCATACACGAAAATTTATTTTGTTTTCAAATATTTACAGACTCAACTCGGAAACTGCAGGACGTATTACAGGAATTTTGCTCGCCGCACGCTCTGCCAAAATTCAATCCAGATGGAGTAAGTTACAAAAAAAAAAAAAATAAAAAAAATAAAGATAAATAATATATAAATAAATCAAAGAATATATTTAATTTATATAAAAGTATAAAAAATAGAAAACGAAAAACAGCAGCGCTCTACAGCTGTTTATAGCGTTTTTTTAAACCTCAAAAAGTATATAAAAATATTTCATTAATTTATATGACAAACTTTTGGGAGTTATTTGGCCAATTGTATGCGTACATACATGTAGTTCTTCTCTTCTCCCTGTAATCTTTAATTTTATTATTTATCATTATTTACAAGAAATATTTATGCGAATTGAATTGCTGTTCACTTTTTTAAACGGATATCAGAAACAATACACCATCGCTATCAGTCAATCAATGATTTTCTGATGACATTTAATGAATAAATTAGCACTTTTTGTGTGGGCATCTGTAAGCCTCTGTATATGAGTTTGTATGTCTGTATATATGTGTAAACGCCATTGCATTGCAAAAGTCATATTTGATCATATTTTATTAACTTAAATCAATTTTACTTAAATGGCTAAGGGTAGTTAATACAAATAACACGAATTTATTTATGAGTATGAGCCAATATATCAGTGATTGGCTTTAATAATGAATATTTAATTAACTGGTTATTATTTTCACGAATTCGTGATAGTTCACTCTTCAATATGATGTCTAAATAAAGGTAAAGGTAAAATTTCAATTTAAAGCGCTAACTTCCCGTATTTCATTTTAATCCACGCAGGATTAAGGAAGGAAAACCCATTTTTGTTGCAAAACACGATCTTATTGACATAGTTTTCTGCTAGGGTGATGCAATCCGTGCAATGTTTCTGTCATATTTCAATACCTTTTTTATAGAACATCTCAGCCTTCGTAACCATCTCATCATTTTATTTATATGAGGATTTTGCAAGAATTCGAAGTTCCGCTCATGCAATATTCCGTGAAATTTTTCGAATCGGCTTCGTTGAAATAGAGGATAGGATTAGCTAAACTATTTTCTTTTCACAATCACTATAAGGATACTGGTGCCTGCACCAGCCAGGAGGCAGCTTCACGCACTCTATAAAACACATATACTTGTGTATCAAATTCTAAAACGATTTAAGCCGATCCGTCTGTCCATCTTTTTGAGATAGATATTCTCCAGATCACAAAAACTAAAATTTCGGTTCTGAATTTGACAAAACTATTTAAAATTCTTACATATAGGATGGCATTAAAGAAGAGCCAAATCGATCAAAAGACGCGCCCACACTACAATATAAACTCGAGCCATTTCTACTTTCAAAAGCAGAAAAACGGGACCTTTTTGTTCGATACTTATAAAACAATGAAAATTTCTGCGTATACTCTATAGATGACCTATTAATGGTGTTTGAAAATTGACTGCGGCCACTCAATATTGTATAGTGGTGAAGTTTCATTATTTTAATATTTTTTTTAGATAAAAGTGGTTTGTATGAAAGATTCACAAGTTATAAGCCAACATAATTGTCCCAGTTGTTGTTATTGATATTGAATGAAGCGTATACAGACAGCCCGGAACCAAAATGTGATTCAGGAGAAACAATTCCATCATTGCTTTGAAATCAACAAGCCTTCTCGAATGGGAATGTAGTATGCGAATTGCATGGTTTTTAATGGGATCAATCACTCAGGCATTTTCTCTGTTCAAGTAGCACAGTGGCAGTCAGCAATTAGTGAAAAAAGTTAAAGAAATAGGAAGGTAGTGCTGGCAATCTAATGCCTTTACCGGCTGAGCGACGAAAGTGAACTCTACTCTCCTTAAAACTGGCCGCACTGCTAAACTCATAATGCATATATTGTTGCTTGTGGTAATAGGTGTTTATGGAGCAAGACGATTACATTAGCAGCCATCTATCTGACCTGTATACTCACTTATGCTATAGTTTCTTTTTGTATATGAAATGTATCCATGTAACGGTAATGTATCCATAGTAACGGAAAAGCAAATAAAATGTTCGCTTCAGGGAAAATATAGCAGAATTTTGCTTGCAAACAAAATAAATATGCCCTGAAACTAAATACCATAGACCTGGCAGGTCGCAGTACGGATGCACATAATAAATTGTTTAAATTTAATTGGTTGTGTCGCAGCTTTTATCTCCAAAATCTTTATATATTTTTTTTCTGACGACTTTGATATTGCTTATGACAAACTCGTCGAAGGAATTGTTAAGTGTTCGTTCCAATAAGAGAGGAATAGAGAATAATCTTCCTTTGCCTCAATGTTCATAATAATTACAGTTATTTCGTCCACTTCTTGCTGCAGGTCATCCCAAAATGGATCTCATTCGAAAGCAGTGACCTCAATCGCAAATACGTTTGTAAATGTACTTTAGCCAAGAACTTACACTTTGACCCCCCTGTACGCGTGACAGGGCGATGGTCACAAAAAATGGGAAAAAAAAAATAGAGAGCGGCCAACAGTTTACTCATTTTGTGACTAATCGGTAAGTCTCACGCCTTTATTAACCGAGCACTTACTATATCTACGACCAGATATGGTTTACCGCACCCAGATTTGAACTTGGGCATATAGGCGTCTCTTATCCGCTCGGTTGTATTTTTCCTGCATCTTTCACTTTAATCAGCCATATCTTGACATAGTTAATAATTTGTTTAAAAAACTGCTTCAATGCTCTCTGGGAATAATTCGAGAATTTGAGAACTTGCAACATTTCTTTGGACAGTTTTGGCCTTAGATACTGACCGATTAAATAGCAACGCAAACTATATTATCATTACCAGATCTCGACAACAAGTACTCAATAATACGTAATTTGTTGTTTTTCTCGAACGTTAATCAAATTTTTCTATGAGATTATCGTAATATATGAGTAATGAGAAACAAAAGGAATATGTGTACCTTTGGCATGTGTAAAAGTAAATGGAACGCAATGTGTGAATTGTATCCTTTTTTCTCTCTTAAGGCAACTTTCATGTTCTTCTTTAAGATAACAAAAACAACAATTGCAAGCAGCAAAAGTGCAGTTCTTATCGATTTATATTACATCTCTGTTTGATTAAAGAAATGCATTTTTCTAAATCTCCCGCTGGAGGATGTTAGTGTTTTCACACACCTTTGCAACTCTCAGAAAAAGGCTTAAGATACTCTCTCAAGCACTTATGTTCTTCATCAGTACGGTTTGATTTTATACCTTTGTTCTTTCCAGACTTCAAAGGAACGCGATTTCTAATCTTTTTCCCTTCAACCTATATATGGGCACGCATTTTGTTTTGATATCAATTGTTTCACTCAGTTTCGTGCTGTTACATTCGCTGTTATATTCGCTCGTAGTACATTTCACTAAAACTACACAAATTGCAATAGTTTCGATATGGTTCTAAATTTCTACAGTTAAACTATCGTCAGTTTCCGTTTGCGCATTTCGTTCTGCTTAGTGTGAAGAAGTTCACTGCTCAATATCAATTCATATTAACTATAAATAACTTTTCATTATATATTTGTTTTAAAATAACCTATTTAACTTTCTTTTAAAAAAAGGGTTGCAGCCCAACCATAAATAAGTATCAAACCGCGAACCGAAGTCGTCTGTCAATCTTTGTATTGTCGCTAGTAAACACTCCCTCCCTCGCAAAAATGCAGATTTCGGTAACAAATTTGAAAGGAGCGTTGGCAGTCCTTGCACGCAAGTAATCTGCCAAATGATACGACATCAGTAAGCTGAGAACACATCTGTTTGCAAAATCAGAAAAATATATTATTTATACAATTTTACTCATTTTGATCTAAATGATCAAAAAATAGAAATCATTTTTGCCATCGAAATCGATTTTCATATTTCAAAATCTCGTAAAAATATTTTCTATTAACTAAAAACGGGCTTTAGATAATGACAGAAGAAACGACTATTCGCTTAAAAGCAAAATAAATATAAATCGATATGTGCGTGTGTTTGCATTTATTTTAAATATAGCCGTTTGTGATATATTATACTACAATGGATATGCGTCATAGTATTAAGATATATGAGAATGAGCGAATATAAGTAGAATAACCGTTCGTTCAGTTATATTGCTACTGCTCTTTCAGTCCTTAGTGGTTTGTTGTCACTCAAAGTAGAGAACACTTTCATGTTACTCAATGCATAGATTGATTCCAAAAATTTAGTAAACATCAAATACAAAATATTTCAAAGCAATTAATAGATCGACATGAAAGTTATCTTCAGCTTCCGCAGTAGTCGTCAAGGGCAAACCGAAAGAAGAGCATTTGGTAGATCAAAACCTTATCAATAAAATTTCGCAAAAAATCTTCAACCATATTCTTCCATACATATTCTTACATAATTTATACTTTTATGCGAAGCAAAGACTGTCATTTCGGAAATAAAACAGCGAAATGAATCGAACATATACACGGTTTGAAAGCATGAGTCACGGATCTTGATAAATACTTTTTTTAAATCTTTTCTCCAACATTTAAAACCAAACAGTAACCAATCATCGGAGAATAAGAGGTGTATTCATTTTATTAAAACGATTGCAACGCACACAAGGAAGCATCGGAGACCCCTTACTCATAGATTGCAGCAAATACACTATTTAAATTTCCACTTTTGTTCTAATAGGTGAAAAAAATCAGCCACGCCTGAAATGAAAATTTAGTTCTTTCTTTTTTTAGTCTTTTAGTTATTCTAAAGTCTGTGCACAACCTCAACAAAAATGGGAAAATTCGGCCATGCCCACGTAATATAATAATGTGTGTCATAATTTCATTTCTTTTCTAAACCTTTATATAACGCACAGAGGTAAACTGCAGAATGTATCTAAATTTTTGCCCGGTTTCAAATTCGGAATGCACCTGAGCATGCGCGTCTGCTCGTTTGTGATAAACATTCTCCCGTTCGCAAAAATAAAGATATCGCCTAAAAGCTTGCAAAAGAATTTGACGGATAGCAGCATTTCAAAAAATGCGCCTACAACACCCCCACACGTCTATATGGCAAC